TTTCTTTCCTGTGAGGGTGCCAGAGCCCTGGCACAGGCTGCCCAGGGAGGCTGTGGAGTCTCCTTCTCTGGAGGTCTCCAAACCCGCCTGGATGCCACCCTGTGCCCCGTGCTCTGGGTGTCCCTGCTGGAGCAGGGGGTTGGACTGGATGATCTCTAGAGGTCCCTTCCAACCTCAACCACTCTGTGATTCTGTGATGGTTGCTTTTGCCCTTTTTGCTTCAGTCCTTAGGCTTGAATAAGTAGTTCTCTATTCAGTGTTTCAAGGTTTCCAGGGGCTGCCAGTGTTTGTGAGACACTGACAGTCTGTGAAACCATCAGTCCCAGTGCAAAACGAGTGCAGTCAAACCTAATGGCTTCCTAAAGCGAAATCAGTAGGAAAAACCTGAATGGAGTCTGGATATCATTTTAAGAGGAATTCCATGGCACMACAATCAACTCAAAATAGGTCCAACTAATAGGATTCCTATATATTCTAGAMCTAATTAAGGATCTYTACACATAGCACTGGCCTGAGAAAAGKCATATTCTGTGCTTGTCTCAACATATCTTTAGCCARGAYAGGYCACTTTTCAAAATACAYTTCCTGTGATCTAAATATGAAGGTYGACTCTGCTGTCTAGAAAAATCCACATACACCCAAGCATAGATGCACATACACATCATGTTGCAGGTGGGATACACTTTGCTCATAACAGAGAAGCAGCAGAATGTTTTATTGAGATAGACAGTGACTTAATGAAGTTTGRTGGCAGATAAATCAGTTTTTTAACAAGATCTGATGGCAAGGCACCCTCGGTTATTTACTTTATAGAGGGCAGGTCAGACAAAATTTTCAAGATGCTCCCATTAAGTCATGAGGTTCAAAATGAACCCCCTTGCTCTCCAAACTCCCTCCTAGAGGAGTCTGGGGTGGCTGGATTCAATCTGACCAGACTTGGTCAACAATTTATGTCTAAAGGATTATGTGCCCAATTAATCAGAGTTGCAACTTGGCAAAGTCTGCAAAGCTTCAGTGTTATTAGTAGGTTATTAGTCACTTACCGAGGATCTGTTGTGGGTGAGGACTCTCTTGACCTTGAGGAGTAACCTTAAGAGACAGACTCTGCTCGAGAGGAGATTCTGTCAGGAAGGCAGTGCCAAGCAGGAGAGCTCAGTGGACTCTGGGCTGCCTTCTATTTATGGGGTAAGATGGTTGAGTTGTGCTCATATTTGCATACCAGAGGTATGTGAGTGGGAGTATGCTTAGTTAGCCCCTGGCTATATACTGTTTACAGAAAGATGAGGTTGGGGTCGGGGGAAGAAAATACAGAGGTGAGGAAAGGAGCACACTGTCTCACACCACCACCACCAAAGCCAGAAAGCCAGAATTATCTCAGGGTCAAAATATCACTTGCTTTTCTTTCTGTCAATATGGAAGAAGAA